AGACCTGAAAAAAATCAGGCCTGTACGGGATTCGAACCACTGACCTCTGCGATACTAGTGCAGCGCTCTACCAATTGAGCTAACAAGCCAACTAGGAGCAGGCCGTTAAGTTGATTCGTAATAAACCCGGGATGATAAGTCAGATACAATGAATATATGAAGCTCTACTGCGAGGATCGTGCATCATACGTATCTACAACCGCAGTTCAAAATATATGAACACGTTAAGGTTTCTTTCATATCACCCATTGGAGAATTTCGTCATGTTTTGTTCTCTATGAGAGGCGCGAGTACCAAATACACACCATACTAAGCTGAGCCGTATTGAAACATAATTTTCATATGAGCAACAGTGGGCGTAGTACGTTTCTCAGTTACGCGTCTCGGTTGAACACTTTAACTTCTTGTTGAACCGTTCGCTATGTATTTCCAAACGCTGGCTGTAACACAGACCGTTTTTCCTTGTATCTGCGAACTCAGGGTCGGATCCAGGATTTTTTCGTAGGGGGGTTGAAACTTTGATTCAGAAAACACGTGTAGATAGATAGGAGAGCCTAAAGTTAAGAGGTAATAAGAAAGAGATAATCGCATTTTGAATACTTCAAGTATTTTGTTCCAAGTCTCTATGGCTACCCACCATGGAAGTGAAAACACAAAGATTTGCAAAACAACGCCTCACACAAGATCAAACGTTAAACATTTCTCCAATTTTATGAAAACTTCTAAAAGCTTTTATGCTTTGAAAAGTGCTTAAAAATTAATGAAAATCTCTTTGAAGTCCTGAAAAGCTTTCAAAGTATATAACAGTAATAACGTAACTGATTATTGCCATGAAAAAGTGCCCTTTTGCACTCATGCGACATACACGCTAAAACTATAATATTTGAAAATTCCTAAATTTTCACAAATGTTAATATTTAATTAACTCGCATTTTTTCAAACATGCGACGATACTACCTAAAAAGTTAACGACTGAAATTGATAGCTTAAAAAGGAGTTCAGTGAGTCAAGATTGTTACTACAAATCTATTCTTTTCTTCCTATAAAATACATACTAAAATTCTTAACGGTCAAGATTCGTTACCGGAACATATTTTTTGCCCGAAAAAAACTTATCTTTATGGAAAAGGTCTGATTTCCATAACTGGCTAGTTGTTTATAACAATAACAAGCAAGAAATTCCAATGTTGGGATGGCTAGTAATTAATTTTTTTAATTAAATGAACGGACATATTTTGTAAATATACAAGAATTGTTAGCCTCGTAATTGATCCATATACTCGACCTGTCAATATTGCTGACTGATGCAAGAGAGCGATTATATTCCTTGAAAATAAAAGAACATTTTAGAGCTAAAAATTACAAAATGTTAAAGATATAGATTATGTCCTTACTTCCGTCCTGTATATTCGTATGTTTATAAACAAGCAAACCGTAATAAGCATCGCTGTTAACTTTTAAAAATCCAAAATTACATTTTGAACTGAAAGATTTGATTTTTGTCATAATCGGTACTTTGAAGCGTTTCTACTGCAAAAAAACCACAGAGTTTAGTGCACGCAATTGTCAGTGGCTAGTTACATCTAAAGAGGCGATTAAAAAGTAGATGTGCACTTCTGTTGTTGTACCAAAACTTCACAAAGTATCAGAGTGCTTTTCAACAGTGTCGTAAAATCACAGTAACCGCAACAGCAATCAAAGCAAAGTAAAACATCAAGAACTGACTATGAGTCCTCTTTCCACTTTGATTGTTTGAGAGGATGGTGACAGTTTTCAGGACAAATCAAATAGTGAAGTAAAGAAAAACCAATGGAAGAGAGGATTATTTTCGAAACTTAGTTGAAAATTACCCTATAGGAACCTTATTCAGTCTCGCTTGGATGCCAGATAAATGCTGTGTTCGATCCAGTTAACACTTGGAGAAATCGGGAAGGGTAAGGTGTGGTTCACCACTGGCTTGGATGCTATTAAAAAAATACCAAAGAGAAGAAAAGGAAGAAAACTTCAGTAGATAACTCGTAATCATCTTCAAGAATGTTTGCAATATGGCAGTTTCGAACCATGAATAAGATCAGAATAATTAAAATGATTAATTTATATGATTTCATGTAAAAATACCACCAACATTAAACACCAAACCTCACCTCATGTTCGTAAACTCTATGCTGAAACCTCCTCCATTTCCTTGCGCATGTCTCTGACCTTTTCTAGGGCTTTTTTCTTTACTCTTTTTTGTCTTCCTAGTTCCTCTTCCTTTTCGATGCAAATGTCCAAAGGATTCTTTCCTGCTTTATTACGCATCTCTTGCCATTCCAACGGCTTGAAAAGGGGGAAAATTTTATCGAAGGCAGTCTTATAAATCGAAATCACACAATGATGCAGAGCAGTGTTCCCATTATCGTCAACACTTCTGACTTTAATCCACGTTGACCTATTCATAAACGTGGAGACTGATTTTACATTTCCTTTTCTGATTGCCACGGACAAAGAGGACATTCTTGGCACCAATCCCTTAGCTGTTGGGTGAGTCACATCAAAATCAGAAGGAAGCTGACAATTGAGGTCAACCTTTCTAGTAGTGATAAGGTATTGCATTACATGAGGACTCATATAAGGCAAGGAACAGGCTTTAAGAAGTGCATTGTAGCCTCTTTCGTCTGCTGCCTCCAGATAATCATTTGTAAAACACGTGAGCTTGTTCTCAATTTCCTCCATGGTTAGGTCGCTTCTGCCCTTTTTCTCAACTTGCGCTTGAATTTCTTTATATTCCCTCCATAAATCCACGATAATCCCAGTGATACGGTTGGTACCATCCAAATGCGCGGCGACATCTAAAGATTGGACTGATTTAGCTTTTTTCTCCGATGTATCGTGCTTTACGCTTACGTTGCTATGGTTAGAGTCATCATCAAGGGCAACGCCTCCATCTGCAGCTTTGCCAGAGCTAATAGTGGGAATCTGGTCTGCATGCTGGCCGTAACTGTCGCCGATTTTTTGACGCTTTATTTGCGTGGACCATTGCTGTTCTTCATTTAACGCTTTAACTCGATCATCCTGATTGTTGTTGGCTGGCTTTCCTTCGAGAGAGCCATCATTTAGAGATAGTTTTTTTTGGACGCGTTTAAGTTGATCAGCAGAATTCTTTTTGCTCTTCATTTCCTTGAGCATGAATGAAATGGACTGTTGCTTTACTTTGCTCAAACCACTCGATTTCATCTTCTTGGCAATATCTAAAGGGCTCTTTCCCTCACCGTTGACCATCTTTTTCCACTTCTTGGACCTATATAGAGGGAATAGCTTCCGAAAGGCAACTTTAGAACAGGATAGAACACAATGGTGAAGAGCAGTGTTTCCCTCCTCGTCAGAAGTTTCTAACGAAATTTCTTTTCCTCTGCTTTTGAAAGTTTGAACCGTTTTGACTTTTCTTCCACATCTAATAGCCACTGACAAGGCAGACATTCCCGGAATCAACTCTTCGCTTGTTGGGTGGAGTCTGCCAAAGGTGGGAGGTAACTGAGAGTTGATATCTACTTTTGCGTCATTTATGAGATACTGCATTAGGTGGGTACTCATAGATGGTAGAGAACAGGCCTTCAAGAGCGCATTGTAGCCGCTCTCATCCCTTTCTTCAAGCTGGCTGAGAGTAAATTGGGCAAGTTTGCTCTTTACATAATCCATTGTAAGATCGCTCGTTCCTGATTCCTGCTTCAGCTTTTGAGTGCTGCCCGGAATTTTCTTGTATTCCATCCAAAGATCGACAATAGCTTTTGTGACGTCATTGGTGCCTTCAAAACACTTGCGATAGTTACATCTGTCGTCTTGGGTACTCCCTTGAACCTGCGTGGTTTCGCTTATCATGATACTTGTGTCAGAGACATTTTCGACTTCAGCAGTTCCTTCTCCGTCAAATAAAGCTGAACCGTCTTCTTCTCTCACCAGATAGGGAGATTTACTTCTACTTTCTCCCTCTTTTCTAACCACTATTTCATCTGCCGACATCGTCTCGTCTTCTTGGTTTTCACGTTGTCTCGGACATTCTTCTGCAATTTTTTGCCTTTTGATTGTTTGGCAGTCATTGGAGTATTCCTGATGCGATCTCTTTGCTCCTTTTGTCGTTATGCGTGCATTTTGCTGATTAGATGAGGTACTTTCCTCTAAAGTTAGCGCATTTCTGCTGTTTTCAAGTTTATTTTCAAAAGCCTGAATATCACTTGTGTCTACCTCTATCTCAAATTTGTGATCAATATGCGAGAAGGATGCTTCGATCAAAATCCAACGCAAACGGTGCCTCTTTGGGTCGGCCGCAGAAAAAATGGCAAATTGCGCCTTTCTTTCAGTCATCTCATCGTTATGACAAATACCATACCTGGTTGATATGGTTTGTACAGTCATTTGAGGCCATCGTTTGTCTGCTTCCTTCACACTTGCAACGAACACAATTTTCTTCTTTGTGCGACAGAAATTTGAATCAAGGACATCTAAAGTATCTCTTCTCCGATTTTCTGGAAAGTAGGAGAGAACAAGGAAAGATACCCCCTTGGTGAAATCTTCTTCTGTAACAACGCTCAAATCAAGTTGCTCAAGGATACGAAGGGGAGAATTTTCTGCTTCCTTATCCACCAGTCGATCGTATTCAACTCTCTCCTTGAAGCACTTATCAGAACCACTGGTATTCACAAAGCTGCTAAGGTGTTCTACGATAATTTTCTGTTCCAAGGCTTCTGGTAGCTCGCTTTCAACTGGTCTTTCTACAATGGAACATTTCTCATCCCAGGGAAAGACTTGTGGCAGGACGAGGTTCTCAACCCAATCTTTGTATTGAACTTTGAAAAAAGAGTAACGGTTGCATTTGATAACAAATAGACCCACTTTATCACAATCATCGTTGAAGCGCAGGTCTTCCCAGCAGGGCCATGGACGGTAAAAGACGCCTTTTTCCACAGTACTTCTAACATTAAGCAAGAATGCGGCGTACACTTGGGTCTTTACGAAAGGACTCACAGCTTTTGGGATACTTCTCATTAGACCAAGAATACCATAGCTCCCATGCTGCTTGTCGCGAAACAACTTTGCAGGGCCGGAGTAGGTATACAATGGAAAACCCTGTGCTTCAAAGACGTCTTTTAAAGGATGAGGTTCGTATTTCTCGTCCGCCATGGGTGGAATTTCCTTTCCTCGTGCGATTTTTTGAAGACTTGTCAAAGGCCTTAGGAATGTGCAGCACGCCATTTTCATTACCCCATTGTCATCTCTTAGGACTTTTCTTTCTTTTCCAGACATGTCATCAATTGTAAATTCTGCCTCTAACATCATGGCCACATTGTCATCAATCATGAAGATGTATTCAAGCCTAAGAGAAAATGCAATCTTTTGAATAAAAAGTCTGGCATAACCAATTCCTCCCTCTTCCGGTCCTAGGTCGCAACTGGGTAGTTCATTTGGAAGTTGGAGAATGACGAGCACCTTTCCCCAGGTAGATCTGTAATCCTCGAACTTTTCCTTTCGAACAACGACAACTTGGACGTAATTGGCAACGCGTCCGTTTTCTTGCATTACATGGTGGTAATTCAAAGTGCACTTCCTAGGATCATCTCTGTGTGAAGGATGAAATATCCAGTACGCCAAAGTAAGACTATCCTCTAGGGATTCGCCACTCGAGGATTTTTCTTTAAGTTGAGTGAATGACGGACAATTACTTGGCAAGGAGCAGGTAACAGTGACTGGTATCCCATCAATGTTTACCTCCACATTTTCCAGGATAGATTCTCTGCCCTGCAGAAGTCTTCCACACTCAGCACATTTCTCAAAATGGTACCAATGCCAAGCACGAAGGCCATTTGAACAATCATCAGTCTTAAGATTTTGATGACCGGTCTTGATTAGTTTCCGCTCGTTCCCTTTCAGAAGAGTGAATGGATCTTCCTCCACGTCATGAGCGTAGAAGCAACCTGCTATTGAATACTTTCCCGTCCCAACCGGTTTTCCGCATAGGCTTGGGGAAGTCTCGATTGTCTTCCAGTACGGAAATTGCCAGTCTTCGCCTTCATCCATATTTCCGATTACCGACTCGTCAGGATTATCTCTTTCCTTCCATTGGTAAAAGGAACCTTCGTCAAATGCACTCGGTGAAGCGAGAAAAACATTTTCCTTTCCCAGAATATCTAGTCGTAATTCTCTTAGCAGGCACAAGTACGTTCCCGTCTTGCCAATCTGAGGTTCGGCTTGCAGAAGGATTCTGTTGCAGTGCGTTTGTACGTTTCCATAATCGTAGCTGTCTTTATGCGCTTCATAATTTAGCCATCGCAATGCCGATGACTGTGCGTCTTTGATTGTGCGTGTCTTTGTCATATATCGGTCTGCTTTACTACAAGAAGTTGCACTCATTGACGGAGATGTCGTCAATGACATCTGGAGTCTCTTGAATAGCTGTCGACCAATCAATACATAAGGAATCACGCTAGAAGAAACATTTGCATAACGGCACATTCTTCCAAGCTCTTGAATAAGACTTGAAAGATACACTGCTGAGCCCTCTTTAAACTCTTGACTGCTGTCGTAGCTAAGTCGCAAGTCAAGACAGTCAAAGCTCTGGGGAAATGTGTCTCCCATGCGACCTTTATCGACCAGAATGAGTATGCATGCCAGGTTTTCCAGGTCCTCATACTGCGTTATGGACTTGTGCACGTGATGACAGTTGGAACACGTTTTATATCTAGGTTGTAGTTCTAACTCACTGCAACGACAATCAAACTTGTAGGTGCAAATTTTTGGTTGAAGCTTTTTAAAGAACGGACTTGACGATTTCATGAGCTGGTTCTCAATCTGAATACCTCCATAGTCTCTAATGACTTCAAAGTGTTCTTTGAGACCCGACACTTCTCGCGCTAACCGAACTGTGTAATAAAATTGATCAGCAGTTTTCATTGTCTTTGCTCGTACAATTTTCATCTTTCCCAGATCTCCCTTCCCGCTTTGGATCAGATCTTCCACTAAGGAACTTGTTTCTTGTTCTTGTACTAGACCGCGCCATATTTGAACCATTACCTCACAGCCGTTTGCTTGCAATTGTTGTTTAATGTCTTCAAATAGGGGAGTGTCGTGTTTGAGTTGCTCGAATTCTTGGGGAGGAAGATGCATTATGCACTCAACTATTGAGAAGGCCAGTTGCTCCTTCGATGTCTGCAATTCAGTAAAGTCCGATGCCCTTTGTTTCTGCAACTTCTCCACATTCCTCAAGTCTTCTTTGAACTGTTGTGTCACTCTGTCGCATATATTTCTTTGAATCAGCTCGAAAGCCTCTGGGTGGATGTATCTTTCCACGTCTGCTGCTTTGAGGTTCATCTTGTACACCGCGAGACGACTGTGGAATTCAGTAGTGGGTGATTCATTGACTTCAAGAGTCAGTGCTTTGCATATCTTGTCACCACTGTTAAAAACGCTTGAAAGTATAATGTGGTAGCAGTAATCAGCACAAAGTAAGGCATCAATCGGAAAAGAAGTCGAATCTGACTGTGACATTCTCCTCACTCTCTTAGCTTTATCAACGATGTTTTGGAAGGTCTCGTCCTCTCGTATTTTCTGGTCTTTCTTGTTGGGACTGTCTATGGTGCTGAGATAGTAGTTCAAACTAATGTACTGCTTCCCAACCGTTTTGACCTCCATTGGTGCGGACTGATCAGCGTAGAATTGGAAAGAAACCTTCGCCAGGTCATGTATTGGTTTCATAATAGAGACACCACATTTTCGCTCGATTTTCGCGGCTTGCAAACTGACTTGGTTATTTTGGTCAACAGAAATGTAGCGATCTTGTCCTTCACAGGATCGAAATGCGACAATTCCAACTCCAAAATCCATCTTAACCTCAAATTCTGTTGGCGTTGGAGGATCACTTTTGGCTTCTAAGTTTCCATGGGTATCCGTGGTGACAGTCAACAAGCGTCCTGCTCTTCCTGCTTTGATAGTCACCATGCCGTGACTGCCTTGTATGATGAATTCCGTTGCCTCGTCTGGTATAGATGTAGCAACTAGGTTTCCCTCGGTAGAAACTTGAAGATACTTGTACGGAGAAGAGTCAATGTACAAAGCTGACTTCAGTTTCATTCGCATCCCTCTCTCAAAGTTTTTAAGTTCAACTTCTGACCAGTGGACAACGTGAAGTTCAAGTTTCTTTGAGCTTTTCCCAAATTGTTCCATGTCAACTTCTTGCTTGAGGACCACGAGATCGCCCGCTCGTTTGGTTGGGGAGACATCGTCCTTGAGAATGACGCACGGAACTAGAGGAAGACGAGAGTTCTGTGTCAGGAGGTTATAGGGTGTCGCTGAGATTTGTAGAACAATAACATTTTGGTGTTGGTTCTCTTTGCACCATTCATTGATGAAAAGATTGTGGGCAGAGGGTTTCCTCTCTTTGTCTTTGGTTATTCCCCAGTGGCATTCGTCTGCTACAATGACAAAGAGTGTTTGGGGTTTATCCTGAACATCTCGTTTCAGAACTTCAAAATGAGTATCCCTCTCTGCACTGCGAACGTACATGAACATCCGTTTCTTTCCCTCTCGGTCACATTTTCGTAATTCGAGTTCTTCTTTTGAAAGTACGCCAGCGTCAGGATGGCAAATGCTCTTCTCTGTCTGATCGCTTAGCATTCTGTACCGGGCTGTGTACACTACGAAGTCAATATCGTTGAAAAACTCCTTTAGTCTTGAAATGTTGTGGTAATGGGACATAATGGCTTCGATCCGTTCCTTTAAAATCGCTGCCATTTCTATTTGGGAAGGTAAATAGCAAGGCTTGTCTGGACTTGCTTGAACTTCCCGCTCAACTTCTTCATCTTCATCTGAAGAGTACATTTCTCCCAGATAAATATCTTGGCTTTCCTCCTTCTCATCTTCTTCATCACTATCTCCATAAGAGATTGCTTCACTCCGAAGAATTTGGTTGATTTTTCTTCGCATCTCCCCGGTAGGATCTGTTTCGTTGTTCATTTCCAGTTCGACGCTTACGATGTTTCCATGGGATGGGTAAGGAACGATGATGCATTCGAAGCCAGCGAGGCTTTCGCGTAATATAGATGTGGTGTCCTCGTCATTTCTTTTGAACAATTTTATGCGTGTTTGATTCAGTTTTTGTAACATTGGAAGTAATGCCGGAGTGGGAAAGAGGAGATCAAGAAATCGGCCCGTTTCCTTCTTGGAGACTTCAGTGAAGACGATTTCATTTACGACTTCGGTTAAGAAGTCAACAAAATAAGACTCAGTCATACCAGATGGAGCTCGCCAAGAGTAAACACCGTCATGGTTATCTTGGAGCTCGTTAAGTGAGAAATTTACCACGACCGGGAGAGTATCATCGCGAAAGACTTCACCTGCAATTACATATGTTATAATTTGGTAACCGAATTCGCCTATCGCAAACAAGTTCGTAATGAATGCTTTCTCAAGTTTGATAAATATTTGTCACGTCTTTTCATACGAATGATGAGCATTTCACAATAAATACAGCTTGGCGATAGTCAATCGTTTTGATCCTAAATGACGAATTTAGAATAATTTCCTAGACCTTGGACTTCTTGTCGATAATTGTTTCACGACATATAGGTTGTTGAAAAATGAAAAACCACTTAAAGTAAAGTATACACTTAAAGTAAAGTATACACTTAAGATGGATTTAACTCTAATAATTCTTACAAAGACCAATAAAAGATATTGGTCTTATAACAAAGACTTCCTGAAACAATTCAGCTTTCCTTGCATAAACAAGTTTTTTTGTTTTCACAGCCGCGATGGTCTTTCTTTTATAGTAATTATGATACAGAGTTCCCTAAAATCAACCTTTATACAAAGTGGAAATATCTGTACCTTGATCGGACATCGCTGCTCAAAACTTTGACATGTTCCCGATATAACAGTCAGTCTGAAACGGAACAGCACAGTTATATTGATGGAGACTGCCGTTACTAAGCATAAGTAATATATGACATAGCGAGCAACGTCATTACTTGTGTACGGTCTAGTTGTATGAAGTGAAGCGCATTAAAGGAGGCGAGGTGGGACAATTTGTAGGCTCTCTGTCTTCCCACACGATACGTGGTAACGATGTTGGAATTGACGAAGACTTCAATAATTCAAGTCAAGTGTATTCTTATCCCGCATATTTATGAAAATGAAATGATTTTGCTAAAGTAAAAAAATCCCATGAGACACGAAGCGAATTTCATTTCCGTTCCTAGGGTTATCGTTTCTCTACGAGCTATCAGCGTAGCTTCTGAGAACGAGACAGGGTAAATGTCATTTACATGTGCTTGATCTCTTGTTTCATTGATACATTATACAGAAAAAATACGTAAATACTATTAAAGGGTATCATGTCTGGGAATCTTAATGCACTCCGATCTTGCCCATAGAGTCTTTGTCTCCTCGATTAGCCCGCTGGAACCAATTCGAGTGAAAATTCTATGAAAGAGAAAGGTTGACTGCATTTTTCTACTTTTCCACACCCAAAAATGCTGGTGTATTTTAATTTTCCTATACATCATTTCCCATAGGCCTGTTCTTGCCAGAGCATAACATTATGTGGCCCCCCCTTCGAGTCTGTACATGAAATTAGATAACCCGCCCTCAACCACAGAAACAGTTTTAATACAACTTAAATAAAACTCACCGAGCTATTCAAAGCAAATAGCGAAAATAAGAGAAAGGAACAGAAGAGAAAAGCTGGACAAGAAGAGAATTTTGGTTTAATCTCCAAACTACTGTCTGATGGTGAGATTCCAGTTCAGGAAGTCAAAGTGGCTGCTCCATTATCCTTGAAAGGGACACAAGTTTACCGGCTAAAGCAAATGATGGAAAGAGGGCTTATAAGTGATCAAGTTTGTACACTATTTAAAGAGTACTTGCCCTCCATCAGCTCTTCAAACTGTGAATCAGAGTACAGTGATACTGAGTAACACTGGGTAATACATGAACTTTCTTTCCAATGCGAAAGGACTGCTATACACCATGTTATGTTGGTTTGTTATGCCATCAGTTGTTTTGATAATAAATCATATTTGATTTGTTGTTGATTCCTTCAGTGTTTTCTTTTTTGTGGAACGGAAATTGAAATGCACAAAAGTACATGGTCCCTTTGAAATGGTTGCACAATTTTATGAAGCCCCCCCATTTTCAGGTGCACAAAAAAGGTATGAACCCCCCACCCCATTTGCACCAACTCACCCCCCTCTAATAAATGACCGAATCCTTACTACGTATTTTTGACGTTTCATTCCGCATTCGCTACAATGAAGCCATCGAAAAAAGATCGTCCTGCACGACTAAAAGCCACCGTGTTACATGACTGACTAGATCAATTCAAAAGCATGGAATGAGCGAAATACAGCTTTGCGATTTGGCAAGAAAACCAGCATGGAGTTTACAGGAGCCCTACGACACAGCATTTTGGTGGAAAGTCAAATAGAAAGCTTCTCTCGGCCCCTTAGGTGACCGACGGACGGGGAAACGTTTACAATCGACCTCAAGCCTAATCCCATGGTAGGCTTTTAAGTAACCTTTCACTCGCGGAGAGACAAATGCAGATACATTTTTCTTAAATTTCATCATGAAGTCCCATATTCTTTATGCATATTTAGAAACATTGTGAGTTTTTACTGAACGTGGTGCGTGACGAATTTAATCATAGAAGGCGTAGCGCTTCTCCTTTTACGAATCCTTTCTTTGCGCCTAATGAATGACACGAATAAAAATTCAAGTATTCGAAGGTCTTCCTCTCTTTGTGATGCGTTTGGACATGAAGGGTCGATTCCCCGTTAAACCTCTCACTTTCGTACACTTTTGTATGTAAGCATAATTTCTGATATTTCAGCCGTGAATAGCGATTGTATCGTGGTACATGTACAGAATCAAGAGAACATAATCTCGTGACAGAATGTAGCTGTTTGCCCGTCCTAAGAATTCTTCTATTTTGTCTTTGGCTCTGTTCCACAGACAGAAAACGTCGTCAATATACCTCTTCTAAAGTAGCGATTTAGTTGAGCTCGGGGTGATAATACCATTTTTCTATTTTTGCCACGAAATATTGGCAAAGGCCGCTGTGATATTATATGCCGTTTCGGTTCGGTGTCTAAGAAAAAGTATCGAGTTCCCGGATAATAACAACAACAATACATATGATGCACGATCCTCGCAGTCATGATAGCGCTATTTAAGCAATAGCGAAAATCAGACCTGAAAAAAAATCAGGGCTGTACGGGATTCGAACCACTGACCTCTGCGATACTAGTGCAGCGCTCTACCAATTGAGCTAACAAGCCAACTGGGAGCAGGCTGTTGAGTTGATTCGTAATAAACCCGTGAAAGTGATAAATAGACAATGAAATATATGAAGTTCATACCGCAGTTCAAAATATATGAACTTCATATATTTCATTGTATCTGATTTATCACTTTCACGGGTTTATTACGAATCAACTCAACAGCCTGCTCCCAGTTGGCTTGTTAGCTCAATTGGTAGAGCGCTGCACTAGTATCGCAGAGGTCAGTGGTTCGAATCCCGTACAGGCCTGATTTTTTTCAGGTCTGATTNACATCAAAGTGGTAATCGGAGATACCACTCTACAGAGACTCCAAATATTATGATCAGCGATTTCTTATTGATTGCCATGGACAATAAGAGACTATCAGCCTTGATACTATTAGATCTATCAAAAGCTTTCGACAGTACAAGCCACTCTATATCATAACAGAAGTTGAGCCTTGTCGCCGCCGATAAAACCACGAAATGGTTTAAGAGTTACCTGTCTGACAAAACTCAAACGGTCCGTATTGGCACATCTACATCTACACCCCTCCCTAGCACTCATGGCGTACCCTAAGGAACAATACTGTCACTACTTTTGTTTTGTATTTACATCAGTGATCTTCCACTCGCTCCTCAAGTATGCAATCTTGAGTCCTACGTAGACGACTCTAAGATTTTCTTATCCTTTCCAATCAAAGATGCCGAGTCTGCAAAACGCGATCTTGACGAAGATTTAAGACAAGTGGCTGCTTGGTGTTGTAAAAATCAACTATTAACTAACCCTGAAAAGACCAAGTTCCTAATGGTCGGGACACAACAACTACTGCGCAGGCTCCCTAACGAAATCGCGTTTTCTCTCTTGGGGAAAGAGATCACACCTGTATCCAGCGACAAGGATCTCGGAATTTTTCTAGATAACAACTTAACCTATGACCAACATATTCGCCAAATCGCCTCATCGTGCATGGCCAAACTTTGTCAAATAAATAGGGTAAAGAATAGTTTTGATAGGGACGATCATCTCCGCTCTAATCCTAAGAAAGTTGTCAGTCCATTGCTCTACCGTTTGGTCAAACACAACTGCCGCAAACATCAAGAAGCCTCAAGCCGTTCAGAACTTCGCGTGCAGAATCATTACAAACACCATGAAATTTGATCATATAACACCTGCATTGCATGAAATCAAAAGGCTACCAGTAAATGAGCATCTTCGCTACAGAGACACTGTAATGACATTTAGGTGCATCAAGTGCCTAGTCCCCACATACCTGTGTGAGGCTTTTCGAAAGCGCAAGTCTATTCACTATCATGACACTAGAAATAGTCCAAGTAAGAGTAAGTCTGGCCAGCGACGTTTCCTCCACAGAGCAGTCAACATTTAGAACAATTTAGACAACGATTTTAAACCGTTGTCTTTAACATCATTTAAAAAAAAGTTGAAAATACACATGCTAGAGAACTATTTTAATGAAAGTTTTTTATAAATCATAATGTCATTCATTTATCATCATAATACATTTGTGTTGCTTAGTATTGAACAGCCTTTAGGGGAATGCTAATAAAGTATGTATGTATCTATGTACGTAGATGGCACGTATCACGACTGCCTGGTGCTCTCGTGAACACGTTCTTAAGCAACTTGAGCGCTCCGCTAAGAGCAGTGAAGCGGCGATAGAGAGCGCCAAAGCCGCGTAATGGCTTAAAAAAATTGCTTATTAAAGCCAACAAGCTGCGCAGGCTATTGTGAACGGAAAGAACCTAATCTAATTCATGATCAAGAACAGGACAGGCTCATGAAAAACTGACTTCACTTTGTTAACTTATTCATACGTTGCCTACGTTTAGATGTAAAAATTTTTCTTTTTGTTAAAAGGAATTTAATTATCCACGACTTATTCACAGTCTCCTTTGATCTCTTTGGATGCTACTTTCCCTCTGAGATTCAATTTCCTTGATCCTCTCCGTAAGGGGCCTTGAGTTGGTCAGCCATTTGCGCAAGTTAAATTCCTCTTGAACCTTTCTGTCTCTTGACTTGAGACGGAGTCGGTATTCATTGTCTACTTCCTCAAGGCTTAAACTTAGATCATCCACATACAACGAGCGAAGCATTATATTAACAAATTCAGGGTCTTCCCTTTCATAGCTGGCGATCTGCTCAGTTGAGGAGAGATGCATTCAAGAGAAAGGGACTGGAAGTAACTCCAAACACAACTCGGGCAAAGCTGTATTCCACGATCTTAGGTTCCGCTGAATTCACATCATCTACTCGCAGAAAACGCAGAGCGTCTCTGTCCTCCTCCTGGACAGCTATCACGAGGAAGGCTCTCTGTCAGCAACTGGTCCAATTGGCTGGACTCTGAATCTTATCAGAATGTCTAGGATGCCAGGAGTTAGGGGTGGTTCAGTATTGAGGCAATCATTTAATGCTGGCTCATTTTCTCTTGCTAATGCATTATACACAATGCGAAGCTTGGCGGAAATTCATTAAGGATAGTGGACGGTTAAACCTTTACTTTTTTCGCCTTCTTACCAAGGTTGATAATTTCCTTGTTCACTCGTTTGAAATGTAAATTAATTAAAAATTTTGTGGACTATTTGTTTCTTAGGGTTGCTTCTTCTCAATTTGAATCTTTAAAGAAGAGTGCAAATAAATATCTTTCATGAAGTTTTATTCTACATATCCCAAATCCTCTACTTTGCATTACAAAGGCGCACAAAGTTATCCTACTCACGGTAACCTTTAACCTTGAATGAGTTTCAAATATGAGATGATTAAAGGTCAGAGCCCAGTTGTTCAAAGAGCGGAAAACGCTATCCAACGGATAAATCGTTATCCAGCGGACAGGTGTTAGCAAACGTACTGCCCTATCCACAGGATAGAGATTTTATCCAGTGGATATATAGCGTTATCCATCCTTCGAACAACCAGAGCCTGGATAGTGGAAGACATGTTAAGGTTTTAAGAAAATAGATGGCTTTTTTCTTTAAAAAAAAAAAAAAAAAAAACATGTTTCGAGAGTTCTTCTGTAATCTTCAGCTCTAATTTACACAAAGTACAGGTTTGAATTCAGTTTATAGTGTACTTAGAATGTTAATTGGACATAACCGTCAAAGGAAACGTGACAATGTATACAATTACTAAGAAAGTTTTAAATTATCATGATAGAGTTGATGATTAACGTGGGTTGCTTCCATTGACGGTGCCGCAGAAATTTACTTGTACTTTCATTTTCCTTGTATTTTTTCCTTTAAGTAGTCTGCTTTTCTCGGTCTCATTATATTTCTAAAAATTTATAGATATTGAATGCTCGTTTCAAGTTTCGCGGGATCCTGAACTTCAACCTCTCACCGAAAAAAACACACAACATTTCGTATAGGTTTTTGTCTCACTACACCACTTGAATAAGGTGTCTTTTTATAGCTAAAAGAGATTAAAAAACTTCGTAATGAAGCCTTACTTAAATATCAATATCCTATTACCCTCGAATGAGTCATCGAGGCTTTTCACAATCGCGTCTACGCTGAATATAATTTTCTCTAAGTCACATGTTCGTCTCAGCATACGATTTCTCAGTAATAAAGATGTTTCTATGGTTTGAAGAAAACTGTCCTCGATCTGTATCACCATCTCAAATATAAAATGAAATTCATCTAAGTTTAAAAAGTCCAGTGATCTCAGTATCGCTCACTTGTCTTTTATAAAGAGGAAACAATGTCTGTGTTCGCAAATCAGATCTGTTTCCAGAATGCTCTTAAACCAGCTATTTTTCTCTCTTTTTCCTTGATGCGGGCGCATATTACATCTTTATTTGTTTACCAGATTTCTAACGAGATTGATAAGGAGTTGAAGTCTTCCTTTGTATCGGACTGAGAAGAGAAAAAAAAGTCGAAAAGAAGCTGTTACAATCTCTTTAGTAATAAATACAACTTAAACGTTCATTTACCTTGAATACTTTTTAGAAATAAGCTGATATTTCCAATGGAATGAAATGATTTTTTGCAGAGCTGGACAACACTTTCTCGGTACTTTTTATTTAACGACGACGGTGAGGATATAACTCAAGCTTATTGTATATTTCCCATAGCTGTTCAAGCTTATAATCCCTTGAGATGCGAATGGGATGAATTGCAATGTCAGTAAAGATTAAGGTGGATGGATTGTAGCATTGTGTTGGAAGAGAAAACTTCTTAATGCCTTGTGAGCCATTTTACCCGAGCAGGCTCGATATCCAAGCTGTCATCTCACAAGTCAACTGAGTCATCTTAATCTCGATAAAGACTCCCATATGAACATTAAGCAGATTGAAATTTCCAAAATAACCATAGGAGAAAAACATTCCCTCAAACCAGATCACTGAACTCGTAGTATTAATCCACAAGCGTATTTATCTTCGCTCTGTGGTAGATGTCAACATCTTACAGATGCACCAAATATTTTTAAAACAGGAGCCCTCCACTCTGGGCTACGCATGTATCTGGGTAAGTAGTTTAATCGACTTCGCTTACTGTCATTTGTCTTAGTTTCTTTGCATCTAATTTTTTCAAAACTGAGCTCGGCCATAATTCTCAAAATTCAGATACTATGAAATTCCTTTGGACCAAAATGATCAAACATGATCTAGCTAACTCAAGCTGCAAGAGTAGATGGTAATAAAAGATGTATACCTGAGATACTTTTCTATCTTCTGAATAGAATTGTTCTTCTTTTTCTTCTTCTTCTTCAGTTCCTTAATCATGAATCGGATGTTATCTTCTTGTTTTCCTTTGAACATTCCAGTCGACTCCATCTCCAAAGCGATATCTAAAGGGCTCTTTCCGTCTCTGTTGAGCATTTTTCTCGCATCCTTTGCCTCATACAGAGGAACAAGTGCCTTAAAGGCAGATTTAGAACAGGAAAGAATACTATGATGCAGAGCGCTGTTTTCCTCCTCGTCTCTAATTTTTATCAATTTTTTTTTCTCTTCTTTCTTGAAAATCTTAACCAGGCTAACATTTTTGCACTTAATTGCCACTGACAAAGCGGACATCCCTGGAACCAACCCCTCCCCTGATGGGTGGTGTCCGCCAAAGTTGGGTGGTAACTGACAGGTAATATCTATCTTTGTACTGATAAGATACTTCATCACAAGAGGGCTCATAGAAGGTAACGAACAAGCTTTCAAAAGTGGAGTGTAACCTTTCTCGTCCCTTTCCTGTAACTGGTTAGGAGTAAAACTATCAAGAGTGTTCTCTATGTCTTCCATAACATTATGGCTCGATCCCGAAATTTTCTTGTATTTTATCCAAAGATCGACGATAGCTTTAGTGACACCACTTGTCCCTTCTATATACTTAGGATAATCATTTTCTTCTTCTTGGGCCTTGTCCTGAGAAGGGCGGGTTTCATTAAGGATGATAGTATCACTATCGTTTTGGACTCCATCACCTACAATCTCATCTAGATCAGAGGGATAGATTTCATCTTGTGCAGATTCTTGGTCATTGTGCGCCGAATCCAAAGAACTTCTGATTGAGCTGCTTTCTCTGAAGTCGGCAGAATGTTGAAAAAACCCGCGGTCAAATTGTGGTGTTTGCTGATTAGATGAACTTCCTAAACATATTACTTCATCATCATCATCATCATCGTCTCCATCATCATCATCATCATCAACTTCATTACACATCAAATCGTCTTCATCGTTGTTATCTTTGTCATCATTAGACAATATATCAGAGTATACGTTGTCAAGTTGATGAAACCAGTCATCTTCAGTCTTCTGCCTTTTGATTTCGGAGCAGCTAGCAAGAGGCTCTTGAAGGGATCTCTTTCCTCTTTTGTTTATATAGTTTCTATTTTCCATGTTACTTGAGATTCCTTCCTTGATCGCTGACACATCTCTCGTGTCCACAAGATTGTTTGGGAAGGCAATTTCGTTACTTCTACTTGCCTTCCCTTCGAGGTCCTCATTGCCTTGGGAGAAGGATGCCTCGATCAAAATCCTACGCAAACGGTGCCTCCTTGGGTCCGCCGCTGAAAAAAGGGCAAATTGTGCATTTCTGTCACTCATTTCGGCGTTGTGACAAATGCCATTCTCGGTTGATATGGTGTGTATAGTCAATTGAGGCCACCGCTTCTTTGCCTCCATGGCACTTGCAACGAAGACAATTTTCTGCTCAGTACGACAGAAATATGAATCAAGGAGATGCAGGGTCTCTCTCCTCCGATCTTCTACCCAGTAGGAGAGAACCAGCAGCGAGACTCCGAGAGTGAAGTCATCTTTTGTAACTGTGTCTACTTCGAGTGTTTCAACAATGCGAAGGGGGGATTCCTCTCTTTGTTCCAGTTTATCGTATCCAATGCTTCCTTTGAAACACTTGTCAGGACCACTGGTGTTCACAAAGCGGCCAAGGTGCTCCAGGATAATTTTCTCTTCCAGGTCTTTGGGTAGCTCGCTTTGAAGTGTTCCTTCCACGATCGTACAGTTTTCATCCCAAGGGAAGACTTGTGGAAGGACCAGGTTGTCAATCCAGTCTTTGTATTGAATTTTGAAGAAACAATAACCGTTGCATTTAACAACCCATAAACCCTCTTTGTCACAATCATCGTTGAAACGCAGATCTTCCCAGCAGGGCCATGGACGGTAAAAGACGCCTTTCTCGGTGGTACTTTTCACATTGAGCAAGACGGCAGCGTACACCTGGGTCTTGGCAAACGGACTGACTGCTTTTGGGATACTTCTCATCAGACCGAGAATACCATAGCTCTCATGTTGCTTGCCGCGAAACAATTTCGCAGGACCAGTATACGTATACAGTGGAAAACCTTCGGCTTTGAAATCATCTCTTAGAGGATGAGACTCATATTCCCCGTCAGCTATAGGTGGAGTGTCCTTTCCCTGTGCTATTTTCTGAAGACTTGTCAAAGGTTTTAGGAAAGTGCAGCGCCTCATTTGCATCACCCCACTGTCATCTCTGACGACTTTTCTTTCTTTTCTAGACATGTGATGATTTGTAAATTCTACCTCAGACATCATGGCCATATTGTCGTCAATCATGAAGACGTATTCAAGCTCTAGAGAACATGCGATCTTTTGAATAAAGAGTCTTGCATAACCAATTCCTCCTTCATCCGGTCCCAGGTCACAGTTGGGGAGTTTCTCTGGCAGTTGTAGAATGACAAGCACCTTTCCCCAAGTTTTTCTGTAGCCCTCGAACTTTTCCCTTCGGACAACGAGAACTTGGACATAATTGGCGACACACCCGTCTTCTTGCATTACGTGGTGGTAATTTAGGGTGCATTTTCTTGGATCGCTTCTGTGTGAAGGATGAAATATCCAGTATGGCAAGGTGTGATCATCCCGTTGGGATTTGCTACTCTTTGATTTTTCTTTCAGCTGAGCGAATGAGGTAAAATCACTTGGCAAGGAGCATGTAACAGTGACTGGGATACCATCAATGCCTGCCTCCACATTTTCCAGAACAGATTCTCGACCTTGGAGAAGTCTTCCACACTCAGCACATTTCTCGAAATGATACCAGTGCCAGGCACGGAGGCCATTTGAACAATCGTCAGTCTTGAGGTTCTGATAACCGGTCTTAACTAACTTCTGCTTTTCTCCCTTCAGAAGAATAAAAGGACTCTCCTCCATGTCATGACTATAAAAGCACCCTCCTATTGAATACTTTCCCGTCCCAACTGGTTTTTTGTACAGGCTTGGAGAAGTCTCGATCGCTTTCCAAAAAGGAAATTGCCAGTCTTTCCATTCATCCATCTCTTTGATTACCGATTCATCAGGGTTATCACTTTCCTTGCATCGGTAAAAAGTTCCTTCGTCAAATGCAGCAGGCGAAGTGAGAAAAACTTTTTCCTTCCCCAGAATATCTAGTCGTAAATCTCTTATCAGGCATAAGTACGTTCCCGTCTTGCCAATCTGGGGTTCGGCCTGTAGAAGGATTCTGTTGCAGTGCGTTTCTTCGTTTTCATAATCATAGCTGTCCTTATGAGCTTCATAGTCAAGCCATCGCAGTGACGAGGAATGAGCCTCTTTCCTCTTGCGCGTCCTTGTCATATACCGGTCAGCTTTACTACAGGGAGTCACACTTATTGACGGAGATGTCTCCAATGACATTTGGAGTTTCTTGAATAGCTGTCGCCCAACTAATGCATAAGGAATCGCACCAGTGGGAACTTTTACGTAACGGCACATTCTTCCCAGCTCTTGAATGAGACTTGACAGATACATTGCTGAGCCCTCTTTGAACTCTTGACTGCTGTCGTAGTTAAGTCGTAAGTCGATACAATCAAAACTCTGGGGAAAAGTGTCTCCCATACGACCTTTATCGACCAGAATGAGGATACATGCAAGGTTTTCCAGGTCTTCATACTGCGTTATGGATTTGTGCACGTGCTGACAGTTGGCGCATGATTTATGTCTTGGTTGTAGTTTCAACTCACTGCAACGACAATCAAACTTGTAGGTGCAAACTTCTGGTTGAAGCTTTTTAAAGAAGGGACTTGACGACTTCATCAGTTGGTTTTCGATCTGAATTCCTCCATAGTCTCTGATGACTTCGAAGCATTCCTCAAGACATGACACTTTCCTCGCTAGTTGTACCGTGTAGTAAAATTGATCTGCAGTTTTCATTGTCTTAGCTCGTACAATTTTCATTTTGCCCTGCTCTTCTTTCCCGCTCTGGATCAGATCTTTCACTAAGGACCTTGTTTCATGTTCTTGCACGAGATCGTGGAACATTACACTACAGCCGTTTTCTTGCAGTTCTTGTCCAACGTCATCAACGTTTTCGAGTTTTTTAACCTCTTCCGGAGAAAGATGCATTATGCATTCAACAAGTGATGTAGCCAGTTCTTCATTGGCTGTTTGTAATTTAACAGGGTGAGGTGACTTCTGTTTCTGCAACTTGTTCACTTGTTTCAGGTTTTCTTGAAAAGTTTGTTTCACTCTGTGGCAGATATCTTTTTGGATAAGCTCGAAAGCCTCCAGGTCAATGTATCTTTTTACTTCTGTTGCATTAAGGTTCCCCTTGAATGATTTGAGACGACTTTGGAATTCAGTAGCGGGTGATTCTTCCACTCTATGAGTCAGTGCTTCACATACCTTTTCTCCACTATCAAAAACACTCAAAAGGATTATGTGGTAGCAATAATCCGCACATAGCAAGGCATCGATTGGAAAAGAAGTCGAATCTGACTGTGACATTTTCCTCCCTCTCTTAGCCTTATCCACAATTTTTTGAAAGGTCTCATCTTCTCGAATTTTCTGTTCTTTCTTGAAGGGACTGTTTAGGGTGCTGAGATAATAGTTTAAACTCAAATACTGCTTTCCAACCGTTTTGACTTCCATTGGTCCTGATTGATCTGTATAGAACTGAAACGAAACTCTAGCCACTCTGTGTAGTGGTTTCAGAATGGAAACACCACATTTTCGTTCAATTTTCGCCCCTTGCAAACTGACAGAATATTCTTCAAAAACGGAAACAGAAACAGAAATATAATCATCTTGTCCGTCGCAGGAACAAAATGCAACCACTCCTACTCCAAAATCTAGCTTAACTTCAAATTCCATTGGCTCTGGAGGATCAATTCTGGCTTCTAAATTTCCAAAGGCATCTTTGGTGACGGTCAAGCTCTTCGAAGGAGTTGGTTCTGCTTTGAGAGTGACAATGCCGTGACTGCCTTGGATAATGAATACTGTCGCGTCATCTCTGTCAGGTGTTACTCTTAGTTTTCCGTTTGTGGAGACTTGCAGGTACTGGTAGGGAGAGTTTTCAATGTTCAAGGCTGACATGAGCTTCATTCGCATCCCCCTTTCAAAGTTTTTAAGTTCAACCTCGGACCAATGGATAACATGAAGTTCTAGTTCCTTTGAGGTGTTTTCTACATGTTCTTCTAGGGTGGAGTCTTGCGTCTGCACCACAAGATCGCCTGCTGTGTATTCGTTCTGAGTGGTAGAGTCACTGTCCCTTAGAAGGACGCAGGAAACCACGGGAAGGCGAGAGTTCTGCGTTAGGAGGTTGAAAGGTGTAGCCGAGATTTGTACAACAATCACATTTTTCGGAGGGTTCTTTTTGCACCATTCGTTGATGAAACGATTGTGAGCAGAGCATTTCCTCTCTTTGTCTCTTGTTATTCCCCAATGGCATTCGTCAGCTACGATGACAAACATAGTCTGAGGTTTTTCTTGAACATCTCTTTTAAGCTCATCAAAATGCGTATCCGTTTCTATACTACGAACATACATGAACATCCTTTTCTTTCCATCACGGTCACGTTTGCGCGATTCGAGTTCTTCTTTTGATAATACGCCTGCGTCAGGATGGCAAATCCTCTTCTCTGTCTGATCACTCAGCATTCTGTACCGAGCTGTGTACACTACGAATTCAATATCGTTGAAGACTTCTCTTAATCTTGAAATGCCATGGTAATGGGACATGATGGTGTCGATTCGTTTCTTTAATATCGCTGCCATTTCTATTTGAGAAGGATAATAGCAAGGATTGTCCGGGCTCGCCTGGACTTCCCGCCCAACTTCTTCGTCTTCATCTGACGAGTAAGGATCATCCAAACAGATGTCTTGGCTTTCCTCCTTTTCACCCTCTGCGTCACTTTCAACATAAAATGTTGCTTCATTCCAGAGGCTCCGGTTTATTGTTCTTCGTAGCTCCCCAGAAGGATCTGTTTCGTTGTTTATTCTGAGATGCACGCTTGTGATGTTTCCCTGGGAGGGGTAAAGTACAATGTGTTCAAATGCAGCAAGATTTGCTCGTAATATGGATGTAGTTTCCCCGTCACCTCTTTTATACCATTTCTTGCGTTTTTGATTGAGTTTTTGTAACTCTAAAAATGTTGCAGCAGTACAATTAACGAGATCAAGGAAACGATCTCTTTCGTGGTTGGAGACGTCATCTAAGGAGGTTGCAACCACGACTTCGATTACGAAATCGAGAAAATACGACTCAGTCATCCCAGATGGAGCTTGCCAATAATAAACGCTGTCAAGGTCACCTTCCAACTCAAGTGTGTAAGCTGAGGCTTCGTTAACTGAGAAATGCACCAGGACAGGGCGAATTTCATCGCGAAAAACTTCACCTGCAACCACACATTTTACAACTTTGTCCTCTTTACACATCATCATTAAATTGTTTTGTAACTGAATTACGAGTTTGAGACTAATTTCTTAACGCTTCGTCTTATTCAATTGATTGCAAATATTAACAAAATTTTGGCTGTTGAGCATTGCATCTGTACTATTGGTTAGAGTCTCGCTCGAGTAAAAAATATTTCAGACTTTATTCTCTTGCGTGCTTTTTTGTTTTAATAACTGTATCGATCCTCCTCCTTTCACAATATTCTGTCACCGAGTTTCTTATCTTCGACGCTCATGAGGAGAGGAAGTTAATTACCTTGATCGGTCATCTCTGGTTAAAGACGTACCTCACGGCAAACACTCAGTCTGAAAACAAATTAAAAAACACAGTTGTATTACATGGAGAATGCCTCACCCAAAAATATGAGGGGTTCCGATATCTGTCGTTTTTTTCACATATTGGGATGGATCGATCGGGGTTAATTGAGAGGACTGGTAGCGACTCTTTTATATGGAATCAATGTCAATGAAGAGCTTACTATAGGACAGATAAACCTCATCTTTTATGGTAATTTAACACGAAGAGGATAATGCCTCACTTCCGTCGATAACTTAGGCATCAAACATGATGTACTTCAAATCCTATGTAGCCAATGTTCAATTTTCCTGAGACCTCTCGGACCTTTAAAACCGGTGATGCTCGCTCAGTTAAAAGCTATCCTTCGATTTCAGTGCTTCTAAAATTTTCCATAATCATTGGAAGGTGTGTTAACAGACTAAGGAAATGGCGTCATTTTCTGAGTTTCAGTTAGACTTTGAAAGTCACTCCTTCACTTACTCCTTCCTCAGTCCGGCACACAGGGGTTTCAGAATCCTCTTTTGTATGTGTCTGTTTTTATTTTTACAATTATAAGCTCTCACTGATCGACTAGCACAAAAGTGAGCGGTTGTACACAGTACTATACAGGCTTGAAAATTGTTCAAACTTAGACGCTGCGATACAAATCTTTCTTCGTCTTCCTATGTCTCGTTCCGACTCACAGTCACTCAATTATATTTGCGCTGTAACGCGATCATCGTATCTTTACAGGGTTTTCTCTCGTTTCCATCTGATAACAAACAACTATTAGTTTTCTACCTCGGAACGATTAACCTCAGTAAGCATTTTATGTGAACACGGGTGTTTCGGACCACAGGCAATTTTAGATATGAGGCAGTGATTTCATCGAGTTTACTTTTGTCACAGAAAACCAAAATTTATTTTCGTTTGCAAAAGTGTTACTGCCCGATCTAAGCGCCAATTTTGACGTTGTATTTAATGAATCAGTTACAGGTGGTCTAACCCAAACCCCAGTTTTTCGCAAGTAGCGGGCCTACAGTATTCTCCTTGGTTGGTGTAGCGAAGAATCCTTTTAAGAGGGTCCCCTATACGCCTTTGTAAACTCAGTTACGTAAAAATTATTTGGCTTTTTCACGCATCACGAATAATATCCAAAACCCTTTCAGGTTCACGCAAAATTCGAGACGATCACGTTTCACGAAAAAATAAAAAAAATAAAATTCACAAAATTACTTAGTTACTAACCTGTTTATGAAGCTGTTAATTCTCTAAGTTTAACTCTTCGATCGAGTGGTCATCTAAATCGTAAACAGGTCTGTCAAACCTCCCTTCTCTTGCACAGATATTGATCCACGATTTCTAGTGATTGGAGACAGGGGGCCTAATGGTTAGTACGCTGTCTAGGTCCAAGACCCGGTTGGGGCATTGCATTGTGTTCTTGGACAAGACAATTACTCTCGTAGTGCCTCTCACAACTCAGGTGTATAATGGTAACGATGATAATGCAGGGAGTAACCCGTGATGGCTAAACTCCAAATTTCCTTTCAAGAGGCCAAAGTCGCCAAGGCCCCGTTTCGTTTGAAACATAAATGGATGTATCACACCCTCTCGGATAGATTAAAATCAAGGTCGAGAGTTTAATAGGTGGCGCTCTCCTCGCCGCTGTTTTCCTTGTTTACATCCATTTCAGCAGGGATATAAATCAGCTTATTTGACTCTTGCTACGTCATAGTTTCGTCACATCAAAGCTGGCGAATTTCAGCTTGAAAATGCTGATTTTTGGACCGTAGTTGTTCGCAACTAAAACGCTTTTAGCTCAAATGAATAGCCAGTTAGGGCAATGCAAGCAAGGAACTTTTGATATAAGTGAACTTTTTCTAGACCTTACTTTCCCTTTTTTAAAAGTCCTTCACCCTAGCGAGGGGCCAACGGTCGAAACGTCAGCTTAAGAAACTCTTTACTGAGCAAAGATACATCATCGACTCAGATGATAAAACCAAATTATCTCAGTAAATAAGTGACTTGGCTTTGTGTTGAGTACCTGAAGCTGTTTTGTGTCGATCCGATAACAGGTATCTGAATGACGGAGAAGACCAGCTGCGGAGAAAATGAAACGTCATTGAAATCAACCTTCAATCAAGTTTGCTCGCCACATTAATGCCTGATAGCAGAACATTTATATCAACGATTTGCCAGCAAAGTCTCGGGCAGCGTTCTGTTATAAGGCTGCTGATTAAATTTATAAATTATGAAACAGCTACCTGCCAGTTTGTTTTCTAAGAAAACAAGTAGCGTAGCCAGTCAATTCTTTTTTCTATAATACTGGATGACAACGAGGATCTGTGAATGCACATTGCTTTATTGTTCATTTTGCCAGATGGTTAGTGCGCTGCCTAGGTCCAAGACTGGTTGGGGCATTGCACTGTGTTGCCTTCATTGTGTGCAAGTGCTTCTTCTTAATCTCGCAGTGTCTCTCGTAACTCAGGACCGGGTTGTTCAAAGGTGGGTTAAGATAACCCAGGGTTAGTGTAAAATTCAATTTCAGATCTGAAAGCTTTAAAAGAAAATTTACTTTAATTCCACTTGTCTACAATTTGATGATTGAATACTCTGAAAAGTATTGGAAATCTTTTCCCAAAACGGCTCTTGAACAGAGAAATATAGAAACCTGGATTAAAATTTAACCCTGAGTTAGCGCTAATCGGCCCTCGAACAACAGGGCCCAGGTGTATAATGTTAACGATGATCAATCCAGGGAGTAACCCGTGATGACTAAACTCCAGATTTGCTTTAATAAAGATGCCAAGGTCACCAAGGCCCCCTCTCCACAAATACAATATCTGATGACGATTAAAATATGCTCCTGTTAATGTTAATGCTTCGTCCGCAACAAGTAGTTCGCAAGAATTACAAATCATAAAAGAAAGTATTACGTCACTAAAGCGTTTAGTATCTCCGGCGATATAGCCAACTTAGATTTTTCTTTGTAATTAGGTTCACTTTGGCCTTTCTGATAAGCCCACAGAAGAATATTTACAACCATTTTACTTAAGAAAAAGAGGATAATAAATTATTTGCTATCGCATCGAATGTTATTTTTAAAATTGCAAAGCGGACGAATAAGACTCGAATGATGCTACAGTAGTCTCAGATAAATGGGTCAGTTATGGGTTGTTTTGGCTAAGTTATTAATCCTTGATTAATCCTTGACATTTATTAATAGTTATTAATCCTTAATGATTGACATCGCTGCAGTTGGTACGCTTACAAATCAATATTCTTGCAATTCGAAGTTTAAGTTTTGATTTTATTGGGACCATTTTGCACCATCAAATGAACTTTGAATGTCACCTGACTGATTTTTAGAATACAAATATAATTTCATGTAAGTATTGCCATTCTGCGAAGCGTGACTGTTTTCGAGTCTCGATAGATCTTCATATTTTATTAAAGTAGCTATTTTGCGAATGTTACTTCAGACGAAGTTCACAGAACTGTCCATGTCTCATTTTGTAAAACATCTTCGTTTATCATCATAAGGCTTATGGATTTTTTAAAGAGAAAAAATAAAATGGAGAAAAAAAATTTAAATTGTGGTCGATACAGTCTAGCTTAAATTTTGCATCGAAGTATTATTTTGAAAATTAACTCCCTTCAACTTTGCCACAGAGATTTCGCTTATTCCTGCACTCCCAGCTCACCTCTCACTTTGTAGATCTTTTTGTTTAGACTGTTGGAAGACTTCTTCTCACAGGTCTTCAAAGAACGGTTCAAACCAGAGCTCACTACAAAGGTCACTACAAGGCCTGGGTCACCAAAGCATCAGAGGAGTGTCAGGGCACGTGGGTTACTGAGGTTGTTACTGGTCGATAAAAGAAATTGACGCGATGTTTATTTCATTTCTTCGCGACCCATTAATGGTCTGTTTTATGACTTTTATCGATCCATATCAAGTCCTGTCAAAACTTAGCCCTATTCGTTCAAGAACAATATGGACATTCTCAAAAAGATAAAATGGCCGCAAATTCATCAAGCAAAGCAAAATAGTTCACGAATCACGTTAAATTCAGCTCTTCATTGACGGATCACTTTTAAATAAAAAAATTCGTTCACGTGGACATGAAAAGATCTTATCACCTTTAACCACGATTCACGCATAAAACACATTTAAATCACGACTCATAAGAAAAAAAATCGCCCAATCACATTTTACGTAAAAGTATAGGAGACCCTCTTTTAAGACTGCTTGCACTATTTTTGCAAAAGCATCTGCCACTAAATTTCTCAAGACATGGCAGGTCTACGCCGCTGCCCGCCAAATGGATCAGATCAGACGGTGAGTTGTCAGCCTAAAAAAAGACAACATAGGGCGGTCAATGACTCGTACCTTCTATCGTAAATATCTCCTGCAAAACTTAGAATGAGAACGGCAAACTCACAGAAGGAAAACACTTACATTACTCGATGTTTTTTCAGTCATTCTCAACTGTTGGACTATAGAAGGAAAAATAATAACGCTAAACGCGCTAAAGACAACAACGTGGACTGCTGAAACGAACCACTAAACGGAGAGGGTAAACAATTAAAGCGATTCACAGTATTATTATATTGGGTTTATGACTGAACTCCCCATTTTTTCGCTTCGGCATTAGAAAGCTTCAAAAGGCTCTTTGCTTTAATTACTTGACTATGCATGATAATCAGAAGAAAAATAATTTCCAAGAGCGGAACCTGGTGGCCAACTCACGCAGACGAACTCGCTTTCGCCCACCTTCTCGCATTTTCATAATACGTTTTCTGAGTTGAGTGGCTCAGAGTCACTTTGATTTAATTTCGGATTGAATGACAGTATTTGCTTTTAGCTGGTTCTCAGTTGAGCTCAGTGAAGGGCGATCTGTCACGCATCGACGTCTAGACGTATTTGCGCTTTGGTCAATTAGTGGAGTTAGCGCAATATAAATTATGTTAAATTAAATTAAATTAATTAAATTATTTGAATAATTACATTTCGATTTCCATTGATCTGGTTGGTTGTTTATTAAGAGTCGGATATTTAAAATTGTGTTGATCTATATATTAGCCGGCAGTTGACTGAAATAGGTTGACACAACGGAACATTTTTGAGTCTCTAGGATGTTACCATATTCTTGTCGTTTGCGGTTTCTGGATAACTAAAAGGTTATTCAGTCTTAGGGGGCATTTGGATTTTCAACCGTACAGCGACATTTCTGTAACGGTTGCAACACAAAATTTTCAGCGCTGCTGGCTTCCTAAGACGCTTCAAAAACTGTGCTAGTTCGACATACGGCGAAGTGGCAATTTTTTGGGGGCTGTATTCGTATTATAAAAGACACCTAAAATAAAAATGCATATTTTTCAAAAACTGAAAGGTTTGGCTAAACTTCAGAATACCCGGCCACTCATTTACATGTCATTAAATAAGAATAGCATTTATTGTGTTATGCTTCATTCTTCAAAGCCTCCCGACACATGTAAATGCTGTGGACAGGTATTCTGAAGTTGCTCCGAGTTCCTTTTTCTAACTAAATAAATGTACTTCGTTCCCCTAGTTCAGTAACAAGATGCGATTAGGTTTTCCGCTGTTTACGATCTCATCGCCATGAGACTCATTACCATATTGAAT